GCTTTACAAAAAGCTTGTACATGTCGAGGGCTAAATAAAAATAGTAAAGCCTCAAAGAAGAATATATATTTTACTAAAGATAGCATCCAGTTTGATGTGAAACATTACTGCACTTTAGCAGAATGTCCCATCTATTGTTATCTGTTTTATCTGGTGTTGACTTAAATAAAACAGACAAATCTTAATTTAGCAATGACATGGCATATATTCTTTCATGTCATTGGTTATTTGAGGAACTTAGTTCCTGAAGAGTAAGGTTCATATTACAAACCCAAATCTGATTGGTTGATACAGTAACTTATTTCCCAAAGATCTCATTAAAAATGTATTTGAGATCTGATTGGTTCATTCAGGAACTAAGATTCCTAAACTGTCAAGTACATTTTAAAATGGTGAAGTACATTTTTAAATGGGGATGTGTTAAAAGTAGAATCTTGCATAAGAAAAACTTTTCTAAACAAGCTTTATCACCCAAGTGTAGATACAATATAATTTTAAATCGTCCTTAATAAATAAAAAGAAATAAGAAAAAAAAAAAAAAAGCTACATGTATTTTGAAAGCACTGACATCTCAACATTTAAATGTCAATAGGTATGGATCATTACCCTTTGTTAGTGCCTCCAATAGCTTCTCCCTTCTTCCACCCCATTCCACGTAACATGGCTGCTCCAAATGAAGACACTGGCATATCCTCATAGTCCTGCATCGAGCTCTATTAAAAAAAAAAAAATCAACTTTTGGGTGCCACATGTACCACGTATAGTTAACACTAATTTTCAGTGCAGCAAGCGGTATCCATTAAGGTCACAACAGCAAGTAAAACAAAAGTTTGACGATAAGTCTGCACCAAAAATTCTTCCCTTTCTGTGACCTCACTTTTGAAACTTTGCTATAAGAGTTAATGTTAAAAATTAGAAATATACTGATTGTGTTTTAGGGGATGGCTGGCAATTAAGTTGTACAGTCGAACCTTGATAATCCAGACCTCAATTATCTGGACTTTTTCTCTGGCCCCAATGTTGTCATGAATATTTATTAGTTTATAATAAACAAGCTACTGTCAGCATCAGGAATGTTTATTCAGTCATCATGTCCTTGAAGCATAAGCAATCTGTTCTTTTGATAAAAGATAAACAGTGTATAATTTTACAATTAGGGAAAGGAGAAAAAATAACCAATTTGTTGCTTTCTTAATTTAATCAATTTTTGTTCCTCATCAATATTTATATTCTTGATTACCCAAACCCTTGATTATTCGGATCCTAGATTATCTGGATTATTTCATCTAGTCCCAATGAGTCAGGATAATTGAGCTTTGACTGTAATACATAAATATGCTTATTGGTAAAGGAAGGAAAATTAATGTTAGTCTCTGTATTACTTCCTAGTAAACCTGTCAACACTCACTTGTTCAGGCCGCAATGCAATGTCCAGTTTCTCATTCTTTTCATACCCTTCAAGGTCAGGTAAGGCATTTTTCATCAACAGTGGAATGGTTACATTTTCATTTTCAGTACCTTCAGTATGATCACCAGAAACAGCTGCATTTGAAACAGTAAGAACATCTGGTCATATCACTGAAACACTCAACTGAATAGTAGGTTTTGATTGGTTGAAAATCTTCTCAAATATCATTTGTACTTGTTGGAAAACAACAGCCCCTTAAGGAAGGGACAGCTATTTTACACCATGCTGATAGGGTATGGTTTGTTTCTGCTAAAAAGAAAAAGAAAGCTTTCAATCTTCAGGAACATAGCCAAAACATGATAAACGAGTCTATAACTTCACATTAAGCAAGAACTCTGACACAAACCGTACAATTAAAGAACTCAAAGGAAAATGGTGATACACTAGCATATACACTCACATCACATCACAGCACATGCTATACCTGATAGCTTTGTTCAAATCATAAAAATGTGTGAATTGGATGAAAAAACAGATTAAAAAGCTATTATATGGCTATCCTTCTTTGATAACATCGGGCTCTGAGCCATGAAAATTTTCTCAAAACAGTTGCAATGCCATTGACAGTTGATGTTAAAGTTCTACACCGTTTGTTTATGCCTTTCGTGAAAAAAACTTCGCATAATGAATTAACTTAAATTCTTCACAGCTGTGCGAAATTTACCTTTTAAAAGTTCCTCAGCGGCCTGTCTATCCAAACTGTCCGAAAACTTGGCATCTTCTGGAAGAATCCATCGATTTTTGGTTTTGCAAGGAATAACTTTCTCCTTTGGTTTCTCTTCAGGTTTGATACTAAAAACCAGAATAACGACTCATCAACTGTTTGAACTTAAAAAAAAACTGCAGATGCAACTTATAGAGAAATATTTTCATTCTTGAATATTTCAGAATATTCAATCGAGTTTACCTTATCAGCCCTTTCCCTTCTGCAGCATTAATATAATCAGTTTCTTCTTCTTTAGTCCTAGCATCATCCGAATTTAAGATATTTTTCCTCGTAGTAACCTTCTTTGAAAAAGAAAATGATATGCCTTTCTTTCGATCGTCCGCCATGTTCCTCGTAATCCGGTACTGTATTATATTTGTCTTTAACATTTTGTAACGGAGCAGTACTGGAATCGAATCGAATCCTTCCCCAGTCTTCCACCGTTTGCACATGGCGTAACGATATTCCTTCTCATGTTGGATTGTAGCCGGTCCATTCTCCAAAATTATGTCATACTGTAGGGATGAGGGTAAGAATATATTATACTAAGTATTAAATAATCATGTAATAAATACCTAGTAACTCATATTTCCAATCGTAGGTAAAGATAAAGTGATTTTCGTCACTGAGGAAGACCATGCGACTCCAAGCTCTGTGACACTGAGCGAAGATGACGAAGAAGAATTAGAGGGTCTGATCAAAGAAAACGGCGAAATAAACTGGGATTGCCCCTGTTTGCAGGGAATGGCGTACGGGCCTTGTGGAGAACAATTTAAAGCGGCATTCTCGTGCTTTCATTACAGTGAAGCGGATCCAAAAGGTTCTGACTGTATTCCACAGTTTCGTGACATGCAGGAGTGTTTTATGAGGTATCCTGAAATTTATGGAAAAGATGATGAATTAGACGAAGATGATTCGATAAACATGAAATTAGAAGCTGAAAACACTAATGATGGACAAGAAAATACCACTCTTTTCGAGGAAATTGACCGTTCGCTTGTTTCTGTGAATAGTCCCGATGCAAACTCCACTTCAAGCTGACGACCTGTCTTTGCTAATGGCTGTTGTTATTAGTATAAATATTGGTTGGAGAATGTTGTTGTAACAATGTGTTTGAATTTCTCTTTCCTTTTGAAGCAATCAAAAAAGTGTTGTTGCATATGGGTTCATTCGTAAGTTTTTATTAATTAAGCTACCAATTAGTTGAAACCTTCCACGCCCGTTTTCCAAGTTAGTATCCAAGACTGTACTTGGGGAACATATAAGGGGATGAAGTTCTGTAGACACTTTGGGGTATAACCAGGTAATTTGGTTTTATCAACTGACTTCATAATGTAAATTGGCCTCTGTAAAGAGTTTCTAAAGCTGAAATTTCAAGAGTTAGTCCTTTGGTAGAGCAAATGGTTGGGTGAGCATGCCTTAGCTTAGGGTGAAATTGCACTACAAATGGCCCCTACACAGTCAAGGAACCAGTGTAATCTGCAGTGAGTAGCGTACTCATTAAGATGTTGTGAATCCACAGCCACCTTCAGCCTTAAGCACCAGTTGTCATTTATATATTATTTGGCACTCAACATAAAAAATTAATTTGGATATATCAACAAAGTTGAAATGGTAAATTAGCCACCGTAATGATTACAAAAGCTGACATTTCGAGCATTAGCCCTTCGTCGGAGCGAATGACGAAGGGCTAACACTCGAAACCTCAGCTTTTGTAATCATTACGGTGGCTAATTTACCATTTCAACTTTGTTGATATATCCAAATTATTTCGTTACTCCCACCGACGCAGCCCCAAACAGTTTCTTTCGAAACTATCAGCCTTTATTCATAAAAAATTAATGGTTGCAGTGCTGACCATTGCATGCAGTGCTATTGCATGCACTCAGATTGCTTTATAATAGCCTAGTGCATATGCTTGACAAACCAGACCAGCTGAGAGAGTTATCCAAGAGCATGACACCCCATGCAGCATGAACTTTCGCAAGCACAAAGTTCTTTTCAAACAACAGTACTTAAGTGTTTCCCTTAACAGTAGCATTCCTCTGTTGATTAGAGCTCTACGGTGATTTCAAATAAGTATAGTATAGTATAGTAAACCTTTATTTAACTAGGGTAATCCCTTCAGAATACTTAAAGGTATATCTGTTATCAATAGGAGCCCTAAATTAAAAGCTAACAAAAAGTTTTAAAGATAAATAATAAGTAACTAAGTTAAAATAGTACAGTTTAACAATTAAAACTGATTCTTCTTTAATAAAAAGGTAGGGTGTTTTTGTGAAAAACAGGCAAAATTTCAGTTTAAACTACAAATTATCAAGAATTCTATAAAACAATGAAACCACAGAAAGCAATGATCCAAACCAAGGTAGAATGATAAGTCCTTGGTACTAACACCACAACGGATACCAAACTTAGAAAACACATTTGCAAGTGCAGAACCTGATCACCAAAAAGACCAATACCGCAGGTGAAAAAAACACAGTGGGCCAACTTGCATAGTTATAAAATGACAAAATTTTAAAACATCCACTCCCATATTTTACCAAATTTCTTACCCCAAAACCATACACCAAGGAAGAATTCACACTCCTTAGGACCTGGCTTAATAAACTAAAAGGGCTTTTTTTTATTTGAATCATTAAAACATTCTCTCCAAGTTCTACGTAGTATGACTTATGGTATACCATCTAGCCATAAGCCAGCCCCTGTTAACCATTTACACCCTAACATCAGTGTGTATATTCTTGTTACAGTTCTCTATTCTATGCTAGTAGACAGTAGTAATGACAAGTATCTGTTAAACAGTCAAGAGCTTCAGTTGACAATCATTTTCTTTAATCTTGTTACATCTATGTTTGAATTGGCCTTGATAATAAACCAATGAATTGCTACATTTATTCATCACTTCACATGATTGCTATGAAACAACAAAATGACCAGCTCCCAGATGGCTTGTTGGCTCACTTGGTGGAACACTACACCCATATCACAGAAGTCATGGGTTCCACTCCTGTACAGGCCCAAATTTTTTTTTCTACTAGGCTTTATTTTTACTACAGCTTAAGAAGTGTATCACTCATAATTATTCAAAGATGAATTTATCCAACATTTATCAAATAATGTCAGGATCTTTTTATTATAACAATTTTACAAGCCAGAGAAGTTTATTTTTCCAAGTAAAAGGCTTTGCAAAACATTATTGATGATGAACCTTCAAAACATTTTAACAATCATAGTTCAAAATTGCTACAGTAACTCCAACTAAGACTAAAAGCCCATGACATGTCGAGTTTGTTTTCCCTTCACTTTTAAGTGTTTCTTCACTTGTTTTGGTTGGGGTGAAGATGGTGTGTCCTGCTTCTGAACTGAAGTGGTAGGAAAAGTACCATCACCTTCACTGCTTTGTCTGACAGGATGTGACAAATCTTTTGATTTGAAGACTGTCACAGCCGGTGGTGGCACTGTATTTCCTTTTTTACTTCTCTCCTCAGTTTCATTTTTTTCTGAACCTTGTTCCACTGATGAGAACACAGGTATTGCTTCAAAACTTGTCCAATTTAACCATAGACATTTACTCAGAGGGTCTGTAGCTGTAGCCATATCAGGAAAAATTCCTAACTCTTTTACTTGAAATTGCATACAAAGAGTCTCTTTTGTAAGAACCCTTTTGTTCTTCTGATTCTTTACCAGATTTAGGCTGCAAGTCAACTCCATTCCACATCTTTTGCAAACATTTGATCCAGATTCTGTCTGCTCCAGCAACATGGTGTCAAGAATTTGTTTGTTATTACACAATACACAACAAGAATGAGGCTCTGGCAAAAGTGCTACCTCATCACAAAGAACTTTTGTGTCAACCTCAATGCATTCCACTTGATTTACAGATGATTTCACAAAGTTTTCATTTTGAACATTAGCAAGATCAATCCATTTTTGACACAAAATCTTATCTCTGGGACCAAGGTCACCAGCAACAATTGTAGCACCTTCATTGTTAGAGCTAAAGTCTACTATTGAATCTTTGCCACTTTGTAGAACAAATGGCTGGTAGAACAAATCACCAACAGATGACATTTGAAAGACAGTGAAACCCTTTTGAGGATGGGTGGTGTGTGACAGAGTGCAGATGCCAATAAGTGGTTTTGACAACCGCAAAGCACTTGCTGATGAAAAGGTGAGGCCATTCCTGAGCCCTTTGTAATACCACTCACTATAGGATGATACCTTGAACAAGAAGAATATATGTAAGGTGTAGTAAATCTTAAAACAGTTGTGGGTCTATGTTCCGAGGGTTCAGTTAAGGGAGCTTTTGGGATACACCACGGAGACCCTAGAACCCTAACTTTGTTTTGGACAATCACTTCATTTTACTGCCCTATTCGCAACAAAAACTTGTCATGTACATGTATAATTTCACAATAAAAACATGGTGTCAAAACTTTTTAATATGTCAACTCTGGGATATCTCATTTTCTTACAAAACTCAACTGAACACATGGTTATTGCACCATCTGTCACGTGACTTACAATAGTTACTTATGGGGTACCCATGAGCAATTGCTTAACGCTACAATATCAAACTCATCCAGCCACATCTGGCATTATAAAATTGCTACTTACCACAACTGTTAATTTTACAAACTTATTTAGTCCACACCCTACTGAGGAATGATAGCCTTGGTTGTTTGAGGGGTGGACAACACTATCCACTGGAGAAATCTCTATTTGGAGAATAGTGCAGTATATCTTGTCAACACATCCTCTAGAGAGCAACTCATTCATTGGATAGGGTTATCCTTCCTTTGAAAAACTAGGCCCTGATGCAGACTGACAACCTGTTCATGAGGTTACTCTAAACAGGGGACACAACCCTTGTCACAACTGAGGAAAAAAATGCCCATGAATACCTTTGTGTTGTCACCACTAAAGAGACAGCTTTTCTCAGAATTACAGCAGTCATGAGTACAGCTTGTAAGAAAAGAGGTTCAATTACCTTCCATGGAAGAGTTGTTGATTGAGGTGGCAAATAACACTCTTCTTTGGTTAGAGGGAGGACATCTCCAGCTTGGGACTGGCCTTCAGAATACTGAAAGCAGTGAGTCTGTCGATGATTTGAGCCAGAAATCACCAACACTGTATCATTACAGCCTTGAATTGTATCACAATTAACATTAATGAATTGAACTGGGTCTTCATTGTGATGTCTCCATTTTAAGACAGGGTGTTGAAGGAAACGATCATCTATAAGTAAAAGTGACTGATCAGTGGCTAATACATAGTGGTGGGTATTCTGTGGGTGACGCTGAATTGCAGACACACATTCGAAGGGGTCAACTTCAGATGACGGTATAGAGAAAAACAACCTTTGGAACAATTTTCCAGCCTATGAAAAGAAACAAAATGTTGTTTAGGTTTCATTTGCCACATAAAGTAAGATGAAAATTTGTAAGTCTGTACGGTGTCTTTCAATCGATTAAGTCAACAACAAGGAATATTATGTGTGGTCACCCGTTCAAGTATAACCCCAGCCGGCAGAGCTTAGCTCCAACAAACATGACTAATAATAATTCCATTATTGACCACAACTATACTTAAGCGGACTTTTAACATTGTCCGCCACAAGCACCTCACCTAATAGTAATTTTTTATAATCATGCTCAATACATAAACAATAAGTCCTACCCTGAAATCTAACAAGTTCATGCCTTTTGCATCTGCCAATGCAATGCATCGAGGGTTTGTAGCAAAGACACACTGGTACCATGGCAACTCTTGACTGTTACATGTAGGTGAGTTGGGTTGATGAACAGTCTGTAGAGGGTGACCACATGACCACAAGTACACTTCACCAGTTTCTGTCACGGTGATGGCTTCTCCAGGAATGTAGGGGCTAACTGCAATACACATGGCTTGTTTGCTAAGAGCTAATGTCTCTAGAGGCTCTATAGATAGCTGAGGACAAAACACAAACATCGAGGTTTAAAATTATCACCCAGAGCAATTTTCAAATCCTTGATTATCTCATTTGTTGAAAAAATTCACCCCCAAGCCTTGCCTACACTTCATTGTTATGAATATCTTTCACTTCCTGCATTAGTCATGAAGATATTATTTTGGTATCTGTGTTTGGGGAAGACTCTATGATTAAAATTCACCAATTCAAAGCAATTTAAACTTGCATGATGGCTTTTGAGAGTTGTAAGCAATCAGAGAGTGAATTTATTTTGTTTTTGTGCACTATTACTGGTCTTAAGTCAACCTTCTTGACCAGTATTGGTTTTGTAACTGTTGCTTACCCCAGTTTGAGGTCACAGGAATTTACTTTAAATTAATTCTCATGAGCCAAATGACCCAAACCTACTTGCACTGGTGAAGGTGAATTTATTCTAAGAGATCTAATACAAGTTTCTAAATGTGGGTGACTTTATTAACTAATATTCGGCCCCATGATGGTTTACTCACCCCATCTCTACATGCGCTTGGACTACTTTGGAAGAATGAACAATTATATTGTGATCGAACTCCTACGATAATGTCACTTTGACTGTACGTAGAAAAGTCAGTCTGCCTTATTTGACCATGAATCGCAAACTGCTGCTTTGAAAGAACCGATGTAAAAGACGCTGAACCAATTTCTTTTCCTTCAAACAACGGGTTAGTAGGATCCACTGAGATAAGTAGTAAATTCAAAACATCCAGGCCAGGACCACTTGGATACATGAGAAGGCCTTGATCGTTTGTCTCTGAAGAGTGACAGGATAAACAGTTTCCTAGGAAAGTATCATATTGAAATCGTGTCGTCTCCAACGCATTACTTTCTTGGAAAAGGTCATACAGCAAAAAGGGTGGGATATCTGACAAAGCACTTTCCATATCCTTCATAACCCGAGCAGCATTACTCTTTCGGTTAGCATAACCTTCCCGAAAATTATAGCATAATTTACACCGACACAAAGCCTCTTTACCCTTCCTCGGCATAAAGAAATTTGACTTAAGCGCACCACAAGTTCCCCAGGAAGAACCCTTTAGGTCAGTTTGGGCAAGGTTCGTCACGGTCGAGTACATAATGCCGGGATGATCTGCCGAAAAGTTTTCCACATGCACATTAGCCTTTCCTAAGCTGACCCAATCTTTATATAAGCGTGCACTTAGTTCATGATCAGTAAATGTTTGCTCTATTATTGCCGAAGAACGTTGATTAAGGTCAAGAAATGGCAAGCTTGTTTGGGTTGCGACCAGCTGTTGTATTTGTAAGTCGTGCGACCGGTTAGAGTATGAGACTAGCTCTTTTCCATGTTCTTCCAAGTGTAAGTTTAGCATTGAAGGACTACCATAGTCAACAAACGACTGAGAAACATTCTCTTGACTAGAGAAAGGAAAGTTGTAACCTTGGTATCCACTTTTGACCGCCATTTTGTGACTACGTTGAAAATGGTCTGGTACTTAATGCGGCACCAGGTCACGAGAGCCGCTCTGAACTCACGGAAAATCTTCAGTGAGGCGTGAAAAGATGGCGGTTAATATTTTCCTTTATCAGTGTCATTCCTAGCGCACTGAATCAATTCTCTCTCGATGTGGAAAGAAAAGAAAGAGTTGGACATTTTCCATGAATGAGGAAAAAAAGAAGGAAGAATGCGGGGAAGTGGAGCAACTTTCAGGGGGCAAAGTTTGCGCATCGGGAAACTGTCGCCAGGCGGAGGAAAACAGTGGGAAAATGAAAGAAGAAAAAGCTCAAAATCTTGGGTGCCTTTCAGCTCCAGAAAATGAACGTGACACACATATGGAGAAAAATGAAAGGTATCGATTAACTGAGAGTAAGGCTTTAACCCAAAATGAGCCTTTTATGATATGCATGCAATTCAAAATAAGGTTCCCACAATGTATTAGCTGAATTCAAATTGAAATGTTTATATTTAAGCTTCTAGATCGCATTTTGTTCCCTAGCGAACCAGTGTCCGTTGATGTTACGAGTATTTTTCACATTGAAAAAAGTTAGTTTCAGGAGTAATCCTGCAGGCATTATTAGAAGCAAAGTAACCAATGCAAATTCGGTAGCTTTCGAAAGTAGGGCTTTCTTCAAACTAAAACTGATTTACCAAAAAATTTAAAAAAGTAAATACCTTTCTGCTTGGGTTTATTTTCCATTTGTTGATTTATTCACTCCTACAAGTGCAATATTAAACTGGGTGTTTGGTGGATGAGAAATTACTTTTGCTTTCGGAAATCTAAAGCTTTGCATACACCAGAGTACAACAAAACTGGTTATTGTAAATGTTGCTTTTAGTTCGCAGGATGAGAATTTATGAGCTCAGTCTGAGTTTGTTATAATCACGTTTGAGTGAATGCTAGTCAAGTGTCACTTGAAATGAAATGCTATGGTGAAATAGTTACAACTGCTTGTTTTCCAAAACACAACCAAAAAAGATGTGTTTTTGAAGAAAGAAATTGAATATCTTTTATGATATAAATCATCAAGTCTTTTCAACTCAAAAGCTAGTCTCAAGTTATGTTCACTTGAAATCAGTTTCAAACAAAGCACATAATTTTTTTTCTAAAGGAAGCTGCTTGCACAAGTGTGGTCTTTGCAGGCTCATTTTCTAAAAAGCGGCTGGTAATGGATCCCAGTTGAACTAAGAAAATTTGTGCAGTCTTCTATACGATTGAAAAAAGCTATAGCCCTGGAAATTTCCATAAAAAAAATCCCAAAATTTGGAGATTTGCTGACAGGTTGTTGAATCAATCAGTCATGTTTGATTTGTGACTTGGTCTCGCATCCAGTTGCACAGTTGAAGCTAACCAATACAGTTTGTTCCTTTTTTACATGCCAGCAAAAACTTGAACTTCTTCCATTACCAGGGCATGAGGCACACTGGAAGCCATAGTTAGCAAACTGATCAACCTAAGCATTCAACTTTACAACATTAAAGTCAAGATGTGTGACCATATACAGATTCCTGTGATATGTAATTTTGGTGACATTTTGTTTCTGCGCATTCCTCTCTTTTATAACAGTTGTACTTGCATTTGCATGCTACTTGAGATCTGTGGAGGTGCCTAACTGTCCCTCAGCTTGTAGTTTTTGTTTGCCCATTATATTTCAGGTCATGTGATAATACTCTAGAGAACTGTTTATTTCAAATTTCCCCTCATTCATATCCATATGTATACATGATTAATGAAAAAGAAAGTTGGGGATATCCTTGAGACCTGAAAGAGGTAAATAAAATGTACAAGTTTGAGGTATTTATTGACCAACACTGTATCAAAATTTTAGAACAAAATACCTATATGTTGACTTTTTCCATACAAAAATAAACCAAAATTAATAGTCTAATTAATATTGTTGTGAAATTCTACTTATCGAAGCCAAGAAAGTATTACTTAATGCCATATTAACCATGTAAGTGAAAAACTCCAACTAACTTCTACTTTCAACACACTACAGCGAAAACTTCAAAACTAGTTTCATCAATGACCTCGTCAGTTGATAACGAACAAAAATCTAAAATACGTATGTGCACGATCCTCGCAGTAGAGAGCGCTATTTATGCAATAGAGAAAATCAGACCTGAAAAAAATCAGGCCTGTACGGGATTCGAACCACTGACCTCTGCAATACTAGTGCAGCACTCTACCAATTGAGCTAACTGGGAGCAGGCCGTTAAGTTGATTCGTAATAAACCCGTGATGATAAATCAGATACAATGAATATGTGACCCTCCACAGGATTTCCAGCATAATGGTGATAACACGGGCACGCGTGCGATGACACGCCACGCTAAGCGTGATATGTGACATACATATGCACATTTATTAACAAGGAAACGAAGAGTGTCACGGTAGCTTTTGTTTTTCCTGTCTTAACACGCTCAATCTTTTATTTTCAACAGCGTGTTAAATGACACGCTTCGTAGTGTGTTAAAGTCGTGCGATATGGCACAGTAGCACGGAAAGAGTTGTTAGGCAACCGAAGAGGTTAGGCAAGAAAGCCTTTAGTTTTAGAAGTTGCTCCGCACATTGAAAGAATGGTAGCGAAAAAGACGGCTTATGTAAAAAGTTCTTCCTAGCCAAATGCTTTCACCGTACGCTGACTTCAAGCAAAAACACAGCTTATGTAAAAAGTTCTTCCTAAGACAAATAATGCTTTCACTGTACAGACTTAAAGCAGGGCATAGCGACAGTTTGAAGATTCGATGGCCCGCTAAATATTATGTTCGAGCAACGTGTTCAAAAAGTATTGTGTGATAGAGGATTTTGCGTCAAATCAAAGTTTTTCAGAATTTTCAACGTAACGCTGCGCAATTTCTTGCCATGAAGGCAAGTAAACAACGATCTAAGCATGATGAATTTTACCGCGTGGGCTTT